TTAAGAGGATCCCGTAGCGGGTCTGTTTTACCAACAGAATACCATTTTCGTAATTCTAACCTATCGTCGTATTCAATTCATGGAATCAAAAATGCTTGCGTACAATTACAGTATATGCATTGATGATCCGGGGAAACTCCAATTTGATACCAAAAATGAGTAAAAATTACAAAATTCATATATCGATCACATATAACCTCAAAGACGCGAACTGTCACTCCGTCATACTTGTGCTTCGTATGAAAGTTCTACAACTTGTACTCACATGAAACTGAGTTTCCCCGGATTCGATGACATGTAGAATTACTGTGAAACCCTCTAAATTGGGATTAGACGTTTAAAATAAGAGTATAGCTAGAATTAAACTTTCATGTTTATGTATGGGTGTGATGTATCGTAGTAGTGTGTCCGTGTGCTCATGTATATACGAAAATGGTAATTCTGTCGGTAATACATAGATGTCGGTAGACCCGCTACGGGATCCTCTTAAGAAAAGTAACAATCATTATTACAAATTTAGAATTATTATCTCATAATTTAAAGTAACGTCGCAAATGCATTTTAAAACATATTACTCTAAAAATATAAAGAGAGATTTATTCAAATGTACTCTACAAAAAGACTTCTGGAAGAAAGTGCAAATGCAATTATTATTTAATGTACATACGTTTTGCAGAATCCCATGTACGAATGGGTGAGAGATCACCGAGTGCACCATAGATATACGGATACGGATGCGGATCCGCATAATTCGAAGAGAGGCTTCTTCTTCTCGCACATGGGCTGGCTGATGGTCCGCAAGCATCCGGACGTTATTAGTAAAGGACCCACGATCGATATGAGTGATGTCGAGGTGGATCCCATCGTCAGGTGGCAACGCAAGTATGATAGTTTATCATTGACAAAGGCATTATTTCTACAAATCAGTTGGTAAAGTTTCACAAAGAATATCTTTCTTTCTTAAAGGACATTCTCTCTTAAAGGAAGATTATCTGGTTTAATCGAAATAAATCTCTACGCTTATGTTACAGGTTGTACATCGTCCTGATGCCTCTTTTATGCTTTGTGATTCCCACGTGGGTACCGATTTACTTTTGGAACGAGAGACCCATGTACGCATGGTACGCCGCCATTTTTAAATACGTATTGAGTCTGCACGGAACTTGGCTGGTAAATTCCGCGGCCCACATTTGGGGCATGAAACCGTACGACGTGTGAGTATCGTCGAAGATTTGTTGATCGTTGAAGATTTGAGTATTGTCGTTCACCCTATTTCAAATCGTAAATTTACGGAAATGGAAGTTGATAAGAAAAACGTGTTCGTGTTTTTGTCGCAGCACCATTAGTGCCACTAACAGCTATGGTGTCAGTTACCTAGCTTTCGGCGAGGGCTGGCACAATTACCATCACGTGTTCCCATGGGATTACAAGACCAGCGAATTAAACAACTATGGCTCAAACATCACCTGTGCTTTCATCGACTTTTTCGCCTGGCTCGGCTGGGCGTACGATCTGAAGACCGCGAAACACGACATAATAATGAAACGTGCAACCCGAACAGGCGACGGTTCGACATATGAGCAAACGGGTGATAATGACGAACATTATCATACGCAAGGGGAGAATATATGGGGATGGGACGACGTCAATATGTCACTCGAGGATAAGCAGGCAGCTAATATCCTCAATAAAATCGATTAGACCCCGAGATTCAGTTCCCCAAAATATTTTACGTGTCAAGTCGGTGTTACATAAAATGCATCATCCAACAGACGTTGGGTATAGGATTATGCCGTTATACATTACGTGAAGATTGTGAGATATCGTAATCACATTTTACGAATGTTTAATACTTACGGGATTGTGCCAGTTGCGTACGTTTCTCACAAGTGACATTCAGCCATCACATTTGCCGCTTGCATTGCACACGGCCATCTTGTTAAAAATTAAAAAATATAACCATGTGTATTTCACATATAGTATAGATTAATAACAGGTATAATCTTTATTAAAATTTTCAATTTTTGACCGTGTTTGATGCAAACGTCTAATGTAGTGGCCAACTTATTACCTGTCGGAGACGTTATAGATATTGTATGTGTTGGATATGTATATGGTACAAAGTTCTGTTATGCATTATTGAATGGCGATTTAATCACTCAAAAGACAGTGACGTTTAATGGCGTAAATTAATATTTATTGTATAATATTATTTACTATATTATTATAATTGCATTATATTATAATATTTTAAAGAGAGGAACGATATAACAATTATGTGCATTGTTATATTGTTTCTTTCTTTAAATATAATATTATACAATAAATATTAAAATTGACGCCATTAAACGTCACTAAATCGCCATCCAACAATGCGCAACAGAACTTTGTGTCATATCCAACACATATACTATATTATAATATCAAATCGCTGTCTAAATCGCAAGTTCGATCGCTTTACAACAAGGGGACGGAAATTTTTAAAGCGTGACGGCGATTTTTCGAACCGATCAAATTTCAGGATTGTTTGATCAGAAACGTTTTAAATCTGGAATTTATGATCACGAAATACGCGTGTTATACCGTCTCTCACGCAAGATAAATCTGTCAGGAAACATTCAGCCTAGTTAGGGAATAAGAGATTCCGCGAATTTGTGGAATGATCAATCGACGATCTGTGTTGGCGTATCGTACGATCAATTACGTACCTACGAATAAAATTTTATTCGTGGTCTTCTAAATGACTGTTTATGTATTTGGAATTTTCGCACTTACATCGAAACTGTTTCGGTGTATCTCAAGGTCCATGATAATAATTATAACGTGACAGGGCGCGAATCGTTATCGACTTCTAGTTGTTATAATGTAGTCAAGCAGTCAATTTAATAAATTGTACATATTATTATTAATAAAAAATCAATATTTATCGCGAAAATCAATGGGACGATAGGAGATTTGTACATGAAAAGTGATTTAGTTTTAAATGATTACACTGTTTGACAAATTTTATGGATTTTAATGCACGTTGAAAACGAATCTTAACATAAAAATGATGTAGTACGTTGGGATTTGGAAAAAAGTGAAATTAAATATGCCAAAAGTATGATGATTTAGTCATTTCCAAAATAATATTTTTAAAGGTTGAAACTATAAATATTATGAGTATTAAAAAACAGTAAGTCTTAGCTAAAAATCAAGTAAAACATCAAACCTACAAAAGACACGTATTGTTTTACGCGTTCAAAGAAATTTTACAGAAGTTATCCACCTGGAGAAATTGTAAGAGAGTAAAACCTTTGCTTTTTAAGACGTAAATGATGAATCTCAAAATATTACATTTACTTTTTTCGTAAAACTCAGTTTACATAAGTTTTTTGCAAAAACTACTAAATTCACTTGTAATTAGCTTAACTAATGTTTTCAGAGATGCTTACAAATTAGACACTTGAATATTATATTAAAAATAAAAAAATTACTATTTTTAATCTATTAGTTTACGCTGTAAAACTAACATCAAATTTGTAATTAATATTCCAAACAATATTTTTTAAGTTGACTCATGCGAAAACGATCAAAAGTAGTAAAATTTGAAATTTAAGTATGTCGTAATTGTAAATTTCATCTTTCAGTATGCGAAATTTCAGACCCAGTCGTTGATGAAATGAAAGAAGGAAAAAATATTAAAACTGTACTTTTTAACATCCCAGTAAACACCAAGTAACAGTTACATAACATCAATATTATAATTTCCTACTCAACAAGATAAAACTAATATAACACCCAAGACATTATAATAGTGATGTTATGTAACTGTTACTTGGTGTTTACTTGGATGATAAAAAATACATTCTTAACATTTTTTCCTTCTTTTATTTCATCAACGAATTCAGGTCTGACAATTGATATTCACTGGAATAGGGGTTATGGATCGATCACTCGCAGAAACATTTTGAGGGTTAATATTATTTTATAGAAAATGTAGATCTTAACAAAATACGAGATAAACATAATAAATTACACAAGGATTCAAATGCGCTATTAAATATATGAGGTCACCGACTTCTGCAAGCAAATACTTTATTAGTAAAGTCAAAAAATACAACGTATTTTTAAATATGTTTTTAAATGTACATGTATAACCTAGTATCAATTTGATCAGTAATGCATTAAGTGATATTTTTTTATGAAAAAAGTAAATAAATTTACAAAAATCAAAGGGGCCCCAAAGCACCCATACTAATCGCTCCTTCGTGCAGGAGTCACCTTAATCTCAAGTTTGAAATATAGGTTTCAAATTTGAGATTATTTTTGCAATATTCTATAATGCAAGTTTTAAATTAAAATCGACTAAAACTAAGATTTTTACTATCTTACAATTTCTACATGATAGTTTCTTTTAAATTTCTTTGAACTCGTAAAACACTATGTGTTCTGCGTAGCTTTTTAGTACTAAATTTGAATTTTCGCTCGATTTTCTGCTGCCTACAGTTTAAATGCATTGCTTAAAAAATGACTAAAATCGGACTTTTTGGCATAACTTCATTTACATAATTTCACTTTTCTCAAAATTCTGATGTGTCACGCCATTTTTACAACCAGATTCGTTTTCAGGGTGCAAAAATCCTTCGGAAATTATATATTTCATTTAGGTTCATGATAAATCTCTTTTTGTTTCAACAGTGTTATTGATCACTCGTAGATAACAGAACTGTATTAGAACTGATAACAGAACTCATATTAGTATCGTCGTTGCAAGTGGCCGTAATGAATTCAAGTTCGATCTCGCAACCGCGAATAACAATTTTGCAAAGCGAATATATGAAAGCATTAATCGGTCGCTTTCAACGATGATGCTGATATGAGCTACAGTTCTGTCATCTATGAATGTCAATAATTATTAGAAGTAAATCAATTTTCATATACAAATCTCCTATCGTCCCAATGATTTTTGCAACAAATATTGATTTTCGGTATAATAGTAATATGTAATATCTAAAATTTCTTAAATGGACTCTCTCCACTTTATAACACATTACAATGGTATTATAATAACAGTATTAAAAGTCGATAACGATTCACGCTTTATCTTATTATAATGATCGCCAAATGGACCTCGAGATACCGAAACAGTTTCGCGATAAATCTAAATACATAATCTATACAATATATACTATACTAATACAAATCTAAATACATAAACAGTCATTTAGAAGACCACGAATAAAATTTGATTCTTGAGCACGTAATGTTTAAGCACGTAAGACTAAGTACGCGATGCGCGATGAATAATAAAAGTCTACATTATTTTATTATAGCGACTTGTTCGACTTTGTCAAATAATCTTCTCAATCGCAGTAAAGGATTTTTTAAACTTTGCTCCGCGTTATGCTTTCTACATAACAGTTTTTGCTCTCTTTTATTATATTTTCAACAAAACTCTGTGAATCTGTATCGTTCTAAATACCGATCGTACTGACTTGCATACTATACCCACAGAAGAAAATTTCCGGAACCAATGCTATTACACTTCAATGTATCATAAAATAGGATCGATATAGCGCCAATTATATTTATTATAGAGAAAGAAATATTTTAATCTTAAATGAAAAATTCGAAAATCTAGAATAAAATGATAATATGTGTCGTCTTTTATCGAATATCGTGGTGCCAACTTCGTGCCTTGTAAGACGGGGGGGGAAATTATCCTAAACGCCAGAATATATAAACTTACATTTATATAAGTTACTCTTGTCTCAATATAGTAAGTCAATCTTTTTTAATCCGATAGAGGAGAATGAGAATTATTGATTTTATTTTGATATTGTCTTATTTTCATGCTAAATGAGGTTGTGAGAAAATGCGCCAAGAATATGTTTTGTAGTCTCAGTAACAGGAATCCTTTCTGACGGTACATATCAATCGTAGTAGAGAACTTTACATTATCACAGTAGATGTAAATAGAATCAAAGTACATATATCAGTGTATATAATTCACGTGATTCTATTTATATCTACTGTGATAATTTAAAGTACTTTACTACGATCGATATATAGCGTTTTGTTGAAAATAAATATAATAAAAGAGAGGAAAAACGGTTGTGTAGAAAGCATAAGGCAGAGCAAAGTTTAAAAAATCCTTTACTATGATTGAGAATATTACTTGACAAATTCGTCAATTATAACTATTCAAAAGCGAGATCCCTACGAAAGGCCACAATTTTTCTATTTTAAGTACACATTTCAAGAAAGTAATATAACCGGCACTTCCGTTACGAATTGGTTTTCTTTTTTAGGTACTCGGTAATCGTTAAATTTAAGAACGTCGTTTGTAGGAAATGATATGGTTAATATGGTTAATATGGTTAATATATGTGGGGGAAATTATATGGCTAATACAGTTAATATATATATGAAAATTAAGACGTTGAAATGAATGACACTTCGTCATAGTTACGTTCTTGTACCACACGCCTAGACTTTGCTAAAACAATATTGACATAAAAAAATATACATGTGAGGTCCCTTATGGCAATATGGTCACGCTAAGGTTTGGAAAAATCCCCATGTATACTATTTTATGGAATTTTCAAACTTTGTTTGTGGGATAATATTTTTTGGGCCTTTGTAATTAAGAAAAAAAAACATTAGACAATACGTTCAATTCGAACTACAAAGGAATTGCTTATTTCTAAAAGTATGCATTTTGGCCATATTAAAAGTATATGAAAGTAATAAGGCCACCTTTTCTTGCCCGTTTTAAATTGAATTCTTTAACTATTAATCAATAATTAAGGCAAATTTTAATTAGAGTTAATTACAAAGTTTTATAGTAAAAAATAATTTTACTCGAAAACTTAAGATACCAAAATAACTTTTAAAGAGCAAACAACTAATATTTTATTATTAGCCTTAAGGTTTTTAATATAATTACACA